CATGAGGGATATTCTTTCCTCGTGTAGGATACCAATGGTTAACTTAATTGGTATGGTTTCACGAAAAATAACAGGTTCAGATAATGGTCTACCATCTATGGCCTCAACGGCCAAGGGTGTATCCCTTAGCTGAGATGGGATAGAATGGTTAGTGACAAAGGCTTGGTCAATAAAACTTTCAGCTGCTCCGGAATCTATCAAAGCCATAGCATTAAGTACTCCCTTTTCCCAAGCTAAAGAAACAGGTATCAGAAGCCTATGATCTTTATAATCATATATAGAGGACAAGATAGAAACACCCAAGGCCTGTCCTCTTGAGAAACTTAGGTGCGAGCGTTTCCCGGCCGGTTAGGGCAATTTAGGCGTAGGTGACCTCTTATTCCGCAATACATACAAAGCCCCTCCCTTCTCCTGTACTGTCTTTCCTCTTCTGAGAGTCGAGTGTTACCTATTTGCATAGGTTCTGGGAGAGCTAAAGTAGTAGAATCAGAACTCTGAAATGAGGGAGCTAGTCTTATGGAGGATCTGCGGGTTCTATCCCGAGTATTCTGCCTCTGTCTCATACGTTCATCTATTCGGGAAATAAATGAAATCAAATCCTCCAAATTTTCAGGAAGTTCTCTTGTGGCAACCTCATCTAGAATCTCATCAGATAACCCGTTTATAAATACGTCCATATAAGCCTGTTCATTCCACTTGACTTCTGCCGCCAAGGATCTGAACTCTAACGCATAATCCACGAGGGTTCGGTTATACTGTCTAAGACGTAACAGTAGTCTAGCTGCATTGGCCTTTCTTCCTGGGGGGTCAAAAGTTCTCCTAAATGCAGCGACAAAAGCATTATAATTGTAAACTAACGGGTTATCATTTTCCCACAGGGGGTTAGCCCATCTAAGTGCTTTGTCAATGAGCAACGTGATTATAAATCCAACCTTCGCCCTGTCAGTAGGGTAGGCGTGGGGTTGTAACTCAAAATGAATACCTATCTGGTTTAAAAAGCCTCGACAAGTGTCAGGAGAGCCGCCATAGCGTGAAGGGGAAGTAACACGGGAAGAAGCACCCACTGTGGCTACCTCTAGGCCTGTACTTACAGGGGAGATAGATGGGGTACGCATCTCCTCTGAGTGATTACTAGGACGAGATAGCAATGCTTGCAGAGCTAGAGCCATCTGGTCCATTCTATGATCCATGGCCTCAAATCTAGAGTCAGGAGAACCGACCTGAGAGTTTGTACCTGCAGGATCCATTGGCCCTGTCGTAATGTCAGGATCGTGACAGGGATCCAACACGCAGAATACAAACAGGAGATAGGTACGTATACCGGACCTTAGAATGGCCGGACTAACGTAAGGAGAAAGCAAAGAATGGTCAGAGACAAGCCGAGGTCGAGGGAACGAGAGAGTAGGTAAGCGAGAGACAAGCCGAGTCAAAAGGACAAGAGAGGAAAGCAGGGTCAAAAAATACAAGCCGAGTCAGGAACCAAAAGACAATAGAGGTAAGAGCACTGAGTGACCAGACTAGCTAGAACCACGACAGGGCAATGAATCATTCCACAAAACCCTCTTTTATACCTTGGCTCTTTAACTGTTGGCCCCGCCCCCAACGAGTCCTGATTCGTTGTTCGGCACTTGGTTGCCGTGATTGACGGGTCGGAACGTGATTGCCGTCATGACGTCGGCTACTGAGCGCCGCGTCATAAAAGGAGGCGGAGCTATCGCGGCCGGCGTGTAAACGGCCGGGAGGACTGCGAGGATCGGGTGAGTCAGCCCCCCTAGGAGGATGGACGTCTAGGTGTCTAACCTCCTCCGAGGTAGACACCAGAGGTAACCTGACAGTAGGTGGGTAAATTTGATGAATAAATGTAGGGTGCTGTATTCATGGAGCCAGCGGTGGAACTACCGCCAATGCAGTCTATATGGCAGCACATGGGCCCAGACGCTAAGGGGTCCTACCTGGCGGCCCAAGCAGTTAGGGCCACGTGATGGCATTATGTCCTCAGGGGTCCTGTCAGTGCTGCGCCCCTTTAATAGCGTGACCTTGTAATGATGTCAGCTTTGGCAGGAAGGGTACGACTGGCCACTTCCTCCCTGCTAAAGCAGAGTGCCGTCCGGCAGGAAGGCAGAGGAGGGGGAGCGAGAACCTCTAACTACTAACAGCCTCAGGCAGCCCACGGGGCCCCAGAAAAGTCACCTTCCTACACTGTAGCAGAGTGGCTTAAAATATGTAAATTTTGCATGTGTATCTATCTTTTTGTATGTGTATCTATCTGTCTGTGTATGTTTGCATTCGCATGTGTGGCTGTATGTGTATCTGTGTGTGTATCTGTGTGTCTGTGTTTCTGCATGTGTCTGTATGTGTATCTTTGTATCTGCATGTGTGTCCATATGTGTATCTGTGTCTGTGTATCTGTTTGTGTATCTGTATGTGTGCTGGTGTATTTGTATGTGTATCTGTGTGTCTGTATGTGTATCTCTTTGTCTGTGTATCTTTTTGTGTGTCAGTGTACCTCGCATGTGAGTCAGTGGGTGCCCCTGTTTATCGGTATGTGTCTTTGCACCTGTATGTGTGTCAGTGTTTGTATCTGTATGAGTGTCATTCTGTGTATCTGCATGTGTGTCATTTTGTGTGTGTGTATGCATATGCATGTGTGTTAATGTGTGTCTGTGTTCGCACATTACATGTGTTGTTGTTCATGCTAAACGATATATATTTTTATGTTTGTCTGACATCTTATCAATGTAATGCAATGTTTATGCATACCTGCAAAAATAAAGAATTACAAAAGAAAAAACTGAAGCATGCAACAAAACACACATTTATCCATGTCTGTTGTGTTAGTTCCCTAATTTATAAATACACAGTGATTGGTACACTGATTATACCAGCACTATTTATCAGTCCCGACTCCCGAGAGAGAAGGTAAACCTAATGTAATTTTTGTGTGTGTGTGTGTGTGTGTGTGTTGTGTGTTTTTTTTGTTTGTGTTTGTGTATATATATATATATATATACACATATACATATATACACATTTCTTCTTCTAAAACTGTTATCTTTTTGCCTATGCATCAAAAGTAATTGATTAGAGTCTGCTTGCTCTCTTTTGAGACGGCAGGGCTAAAAATATACAGTACGTGCTTCCAGTTGGCAAGAGACTTCAATAGGTAGAACACAGCAACAGAATGAGAGACTAATTCTTACCCCTCCCCGTCTCATAGACTGTATCTGCTTGCACGACTTTTCAAACACACTGATTTATTTTAATCAGCAAGTTCTTAGTGCCTTGTAAGAATATATGGTGTTTGTAGGAGTTACTTCTAGCGCAAGGTAAGTAAATGCTTCTCAACCTGTGGAGTTTGAATTCTTATAAATAACATTATTGCCTATCATAGTATCCATGACAGCTACAATTCAAAGACAGATTAAATCATATTAAGTGGGCTGACCTGTCAGTTGACTGCAGCCTGCACAATAAAACAGCTTTGCTTTGAAAATTTGGTTAGTCACTGTAAAACAACATTAAAATGTTCTATCAAATACCATGCAGCCAATAATGCAATTAAGAGATTGGATTGATGTAGTTTGCGGTTTACAGTCGGCCCTGTTCCTTCAGAGTCACATTTAATATGACCTTATTTTCAAGGTATTACGTTTTAATGTCAGAAATTGCACTTATGTCCACTTTAGATGGTAATGTTGTTTACAGAATTGTGGACGGTCGATCCTTTCACCTCCGAGGCATCTTCCACCCGCATTAGTTTCTAAATGACGCTATTTCGGGAATATATTCTAGAGCTAATGCAAGTGAGGAGGTGTTGCTTTGCTACGTTGATATGTACAAAGACACTGAAACCTGGAGGCAGTGTTTAACAAAGGCAATTTGTGTATAAGGATTACCTTATTTAAAAGATGAAAGGAAAAAAAAAAAACAACCTTAATTGAACATGAAACACGGGGAGATTTTTTCACTAAACCAGGGAATTGTGGAGAAGTAACAAAGGAATTGAAAATTTTAGGAAAAAAAGGACACTGTTGGAAAAAAAGCAGACAGAGTTGGTCAATTTGTTTGCAATTTGTCAATTTAAGCATAAAAATTTAAATTCCATTGTCATTTCTCCACAATGCCCAGATATGTGAATAACTCCAACAGTACTGCAGATCAGTGATTTTTAAATAAGTCCATTAGGGTACCTACTAACCTGTATTTAGGGAATTCATTCTCTAGTTATGTTCTTTTCTGGTTTTCAGTCTTAACTGGACCATTAATGGAAGGTTTGTGGAACTGCTAGCATTTATAGTAGATAATGTACCTACAAAAAGGATTTTAGTTTGATTTTGTAACATTACACTTTATCTAGTGACTTAGAGTTATGTGATGGTTGAGTTCTACTTTTCGATGACCTTATTTATGGTGGAACTTTCTCTTGAACTTTTATAAGTCAAAAGTTGCCCTGGACAAACTCTGAGATATCCATTTCTTGGCATAATGCATAAAGATAAAACCTCAGCATACTTACTTAGCAGATTGAAAGATAACTGGTATTTCTCGATGGACTTTGTAATGAATAATAGAATTACAGGGGGGCGGGGCCCGACTGTCATGGTGGAGATATGCATTTCAAGAGAGTTCTACCACTGTTCTGACAAAACGGCTGTTCTGCAAGCTTCTTTTGCTCAACAAAGGTGAACTAAGAGCAGGGCTAGCTTCCAGACTCACACGACAAGCTGAACAGCGACTGGCGATATATTGGGAGCTGGCTCACCCCACTGTAACTAATGCGGCCTAGTGCACATCGGGCAGGAGAGGCTGCCGCTCTCCTGATTTGGAGGTGCTCAGAAGCAACTTTCAAGCAACTGCTCCATTACCCCCTCCCCAGGACCAGTGGGGGTGATCCTGGTCCACAACTGATGGGCTTCTGGGCCAAAGCGCGACTGGGGGACTGTGCGGACCAAGCGGAGTGACCCTGCCTTAACTTACCACGTGTCTTCCTACCCTCGCAGCCACACCGCTTGATTTTGAGGCCTGGCTCAACACCTTCTTTGAAGATTTCTGGAGGCGCCTGGAGAGCAGGGCTAGGGGGCAACAGACAAGCAATGCCATGTGTGGGCTTCAAACCCAGCCATACCGGAGACTCCTGGCGCACCTTAAGAGAAAGAGCATGGCGCCAAGACCACGGCGCACCCGAACACGGTGGAGAGGACCAGGTCGGCACAGCATAAGGGAAGCAAAGTGCAACTTACCAACAGGTCGGCTTCAGAAGGGGCCTTATCTTGCCTCCTCTCAAGAGACTATCTGGATCTTCACACGTCTTCTTGATGCTCCAGCGACCTCTGTTTTGGCTATTCCACCCTACCACTGCCTTCCTGTCACAAGCCTGTGATGTGCCCCAGAGAGGCATAGGATGAATGAACCAGAGAACACTGCTGGCTGGCACTGCCCCCTCCCACCCCCCCATGCCTTCACACAACATGATTATTTTTTATTTCTTTTGCATTGAGTATCTCCTACATATGGCATTGTTTATCTTATAGTATGTGTAGCTCTCTACAACCTAAGAGCAATGATTGTTTGCCTGTGAAGCCTAATGCCATATTTCTGCCCTGGAGGCCCTTAGGTGTTAAGCTACTTATCTCTTTGTCATGGAAATACTCTCCTCATAGCTTAAGTTCTGTGTACCATTTAGACACGTACAACTAGCCTGATTTCTTCTTTGTTTATTCCCCATGTCTAGAATCTCCTATTTTATATATGTTCTGTCCTCGGACATATATGCCTAGCCTGATTTTTCTATTATATTATAAAATTGTGCAGCACCATCATAATGCCACACAACGCAATGTTCTTAAATGTATATAACACTATGCAGTGTGTTTCTTTTGTTATCTGATGCTCTTGTGCATTCTATTGTGGCATTACAAGATTATTTGTTCTCTAATGCACAACAAAAATAAAGAATATAAAAAAATAATAGAATTACAAAGCAATGACACATACGTCATATCATGAGAGAAAAGAATATGAATAATTTGCTAATAAGGAATTTTCAGCAAATAATCACTGTTCCTTTAAGACTGATTCATACATTCATTGTAAAGGGACACTCTAAGCACCAAAACAACTTCAGCTGAATGAAGTAGTTTTGGTGTATAGATCATGCCCCTGCAATCTCACTGCTTAATTCCCTACCATTTAGGAGTTAAATCACTTTGCTTATGCAGCCCTAAGCATACCTCCCCTTAATAAGACTCACATAATCTGCATTGTTTAGCTTCCCTTATTGTACATTGTGTTTAATTTAGAGTTTCTTCTCTCTTGCTCTATTAATAGCCTGCAACAGCCTCCACTGTGTGACTCAAGTTTGATTAACAGAGCAGGATATAAGAACTTTACAGGGTTATTTGCTAAAGTGAGAATTTAAAGTGAATTTAAGGTAAATTTCTAATTTATGGCCAAAGTAGATGAATGGACAGCATAGCTGGCTTAGAGAATTTTTAAAGTTTAGCCATTTTGATGTTTGAAATTAAATTCAGGCTGTGTGAGTAACAGCCAGGGGACGTGTGGCTAGAGCCACATAAACAGAAATAAAAGTGATTGAACTCCTAAACGGCAGAGAATTGAGTCTGCAAAAGCATGATCTATACACCAAAACTGCTTCATAAAGCTAAAGTTGTTTTGGTGCTTCAGATGTCCCTTTAATTATTATTTGTGATTGTGCTTTGCTAAATCTGATAATCAGCCCTTAAAACCTGAACAGTATAAATTAGGAAGGATTTCAATCTCAGTTCTGTGATGCTTTGCAGCATAGCATTTCTCGTGTTATCCCTTTAATAATATAATACGGAACGCTGTAAAGTGTTTAATTCCATTTTTAAAAGGTGTCACACCAAATGTTTCCCACAACCAGTAATGTTGATGCTGCAGCATATATTATATGAAGGTATAGTAGAGTAAAGAACTTAATGTACAAATGATTAGCCCTAATGGTTATCTGTGAAATACATATCCCATAATGATCATGCGGTTAAGCATCACTGGATATGTAATTCAAAATATCTGCAGCGTCAAGAACTATCATTATTTTCTGTAGATTGGCCTAGCACCAAGGGATACACAGTTCACAAATATTGCTGGTTTTAGAGCACACTTAAATTTTATTAATGGCTATTAAATTAATGAATCAATGAGTGTAGGAAGCTAATCGGGATTAATAATACCAAGTTGAAGTATTTTCCCACTACTTTTGACATGTATAATATATTTCCAATTGGAGGGTCACATCTTATGCTGTGTGCCACCACCCCTGCCCCCCCCAATGTATAATCTCAGCTGCAAACAATCTGTACATACTTTTATCAATCAAATAAATCCAAAAACTGAGGATAAAAACATTATGCAGAACACATTTACACCTTTGCTATTAGACACGTAAAATGTATAGCAGATGCTCATTTGCACATTATGTCTATGGGAAAAATTAGGTTAATGGAACATTAAATCAGTTTGAAGCTCTGTGTCCTTTAGAGCAACTCGAGAACAAGTTTCAGTAATATGACTCATTCTGCCTTTTGAGTTTTTGTTTTCCTTCCACCCTCAGCTAAAATCTCCCATCCTCTCTTGGACCTTTATGTAATCTTGCTTTATTTTCCACAAATGAATATATTGTTGAAATCTTGTGAACTTGCCCAAATGCATTATATCATCCTTTTTAGTTGAGTGGTTGAATTATTGTGTAATAATACCAAGACGGTGAGTCAAATTAACACAGTTTAGATGTCGAGCTTAAAGGGACACTATAGTCACCTAAACAACTTTAGCATAATGAAGCAGTTTTAGTGTATAGATCATGCCTCTCAGGTTTCACTGCTCAATTCACTGTCATTTAGGAATTAAATCACTTGGTTTCTGTTTATACAACCATTGCCACACCTCACCTCGCTCTGATTGACACAGCCTGCATGAAAAAAAGCTGGTTTCAATTTCAACCAGATGTAATATACCTTTAACAATTTTATCTCTTGCTCTGTAAATTGAACTTAAATCACATACAGGAGACTCTTGTAGGGTCTAGCAAACTTTTAACATAGGAGGGGTTAGAAAATCTAAATTAAACAGAACTTGCAATAAAGGAAGGATAAACATTAGATGGCTCTTTATAGGAAGTGTTTATGAAGGCTGATCAAGTCACATGCAGTGAGTTGTGACTAGGGTTCATAAACAAAGTGATTTAACTCCTAAATGGCAGAGAATTGAGCAGTGAGGCTGCAGGGGCGTGATCTATACACCAAAACTGTTTCATTAAGCTAAAGTTGTTTTGGTGACTATAGTATCCCTTTAAAAATGATAAGAGCATTTGTTCTGCTTGAAAACTCTGTTAAATAACTTTTTACAAATAGGCTGAGTTTCTTTACTTACTCAAAATCAAGCATTAGTATGAAATGTCTTCTCATCTCAACCTTGAATATTCCTATTCTTTTTGAGTATCCTTCTTAGTCTTTTCAACCATCTACAAACCTTGTTCCCCATTTCCCTCCTTTTTATTTATCTTTCTTCTCCAACAGTCTTTGGTATCCATCGCCAATAATTTGACTATGATTTACCTCCTGATTGCAGGAGTTTGACAGGAAGGAACATTGCTCATGATCTGAGCATTCTTGCAGTGTCAGTTTTACAGCCTCTTCAACTGACTCACAGAGCTGCAAAGTGCCTCCTCAAACTTTAGTCCAAGAAAAAGCCTAATTTGACTTTAAAAGAATTCATTCCCAGTCTTTCCTGACACATTAGAGACTTATTTTGGTGTTGGGCCTGGTTGATGCATCTCACTTGGGCCATGATCCAGGCAGCATCCAAACACAGTGGCCTCACACACTCAGGGTAGTGTCCAGTTTGGCCATTTTCTCTATTGTTTTTATTTTGCTATAATGCATCAATCTCATGTGCAGTTTACATTCCAGAATGGTTTAATGGACACTTCAAAGACTCTGTTTCTATTTTGCATTTTACCTTGGAGACACACAGTTTATCTGACCAGGTTGTACTTTATCATCTTTTGCTCTAAAGTCTCAGATTGTTTATTGCTTTGTCGTTACAGAACTCTCAAACCTTTCGTATCCAGTTATCATTGGGGCACTATTTTTATATATCTTCCCCCTTTATTGTTTTGACCATTGCATTTTGATGCTTGCCTTGTGTTTGCTACATCGGTGAAAGGTACCAATTCACTGGCTAGCTTGCCCTTTCACATTGTAGTCTGACCTTTCCTCTTGTTGTATCCTTACCAAAGCCATGCTCATTAGCAGTTCTGCTCTGAGGGCCCTTCACTCCCAGCACCTCCTACATTGCATAATAGTTTACCTTTCTGCTCTTGGTCTACATCACCCAACTACCATCTTAAATTACCTTCTAAGTAACCTACTCTGGGTAAGCATGTCTACTGGACCAGAAAAAGTAAACCAAATTTAGACTAATAGATCCACTTTAATTTAATGTAGCACCTGCACTAAATTAAAGTTGAAATACTAGTATGTTTTCATAAGTTTCAGATCCCACCTCCTTTCTGGTAACATTAAATCAGAAGCATAACAAAAGTAAAATATGGGTAAATCCACATTAGAGCATACTAGCTACTCTTGTCACTTAATTCACCACAAGAAGCTGCATTAAATATCAGATACAGTGGCAGAACTACTGCAGCCGGGAACCCTCACACTGACAGAGGCCCATCCTGTGACTCATACACCTCCATATAAACACCTGGTGGGCATTTGTCAGCAGGGGCTCGGTAGGATGCTGTGGCCCTTTAAGAGTGTGACCGGGCCCCATTCTTTTCAGCAGCCTGGGAGTAAGTGACAGCTGATCACACCAAAGCTGTGTGAAGGGAGCAGAGAGGAAGGGTCAGCGTGCGGGAGCAGAAGGAGAAGGCAGAGAGGAGGGGGGTGGAACAGGCGAGCCAGCCTCTAACTCCCTACTACCTCAACCAACAGACCTGACCCCAGGAATGCCACCTACCAGCACCATAAAGGAAAAAAACTGGAGGGTGGCTATATGTCTGGCAGTGTGTGTATGTCTATCACCGCGTTTGTATCTGTATGTGTGTGTGTCAGTGTTTGCATGTGTGTCTGTGTATAAGAATGTCTGTTACTGAATGTATCTGTATCAGTGTGTGTATGTATCTGCATGTGTGTCAGTGTGTGTATGTGGATCACCGTGTGTGGCAGTGTAAGTGTATATGTGCACACATCTCAGCATTCAAATGCCAACACTACATACAAACACAGTCCTGCGTTCAAACATCACCACTACATACAAACACACCTCTGAATTAAACACCAAAATTATATATAAAAACAACCCCTGCATTCACAAACTAAGACTACACATACATGCATGCAAACGCCAACACTACACACACACCCCATATTAACACATGCTTACATTCAAATACACAAACACTGCTCTGTGCTAAATACAACTCTGCAAGCATGTGAAAATAATAGATCCCCAGCCGTCAAAGTATTGCAGAATATGTATGACTGATGGGGATCTACCTTTTAGCCACCCTTTGCACCAGGGCCCTCTGTATGTTAGTTCCGCCACTGATCAGGTACACTATTCCACCACAACCTGAAGCAATGAATCTTATAGAAGCAAATATGAAAAATTATACATTTAATAAACTAAATTATTTATAGCATTCATCACTCAAAGTCCACTTCTATAAAAAAAAAGTTTCATTGAACAGTTCAAGGAATTCAGTAAGAACAGCATAATTACACACATAGTGCATCAGCGGGCTAAAAGCCTGGATATTATGTGTTTTGCATGATGCAGTAGTTAGAGGCATTGTTGCATAGAGTTTGAGTCCCCGGAGCGGATCTTTTTTGTCCATTAGCACTATCCTTTTTGAAAATGTATTGGCCAGCTAATGCACCAATTGTAATCTTCAGCAATCAAAATGCCTGGTTACTCAGCAAACCATTGAATTATAATGGCACATCAAAACTCTATGACTCTAAGGAAGGAGACATAACCACATTAGGAATATGTTGTGCCTTTTTTTCCTAGACAGTCCTTGTGTCTGAGATCCAGGAAATTGAATCTGTAGAAATGATGCCTGCCCAGTTTGTTGCTACAACAAGCTAATTGGATCAATAACATGCTCAAAAGCACTATATGGAACAATGTTCTTTATTTCGAATATGCATAACTGAGTGATGTATAAGGGGATGTGTTGCATTTCTTGTGAATTAGTGCACTCAGCAAGATCTTTTCAATACCTAATAGGATAGGGGAAATGCTACTGGAGCATAAAAGGACAGAGGGAAAGCTTTTTTTTTTTGGAGGGGGTGGCTTTCAGGTAGCAATATATACACACATATATGTTTAGAGAATCCAGCGCACTCATTCACTCACTAAAGACCACATTAATAGCTTACAAAATGTACCTGTTTTGGGCAAAAATAATGCGGATTTAGCTCCAGTATATGAGCATACGTCTGTCACAATGCCAATGCATCACATTTGTGTCAGACCCTACTCTAGCAACCTAATGTCTGCACTTATTGTATTATTATTGCACATAATATATATATAAATATACGCACACACAAAAAAAAACTCAACATATTATAAATATATAACCCAATAAAAATACATAACCTAACCTGATAATACAGATACATAAAATTGTATAACTATATTTGATTTATTTTTATTTATAACCATATAACAACCTGATAATACAAAAACTCAACACATTATAAATATATAACATAATATAATAGAAATATATAACAAATATAATAACCTGATAATATAAATACATAACAACCTGAAAATACAGATACATAAAATTATATAACTATATATTTATTGATTTTTATTTATAAAATATTTTACCAGGAAAGATACATTGAGATTTCTCTAGTTTTCAAGTGTGTCCTGGGTCCACAAATCATTGCATTGTTACATTAGGGTACAATAAAATACAAAAGCAACATTAATACACAATATATACAAAATTTAACATAGAACAGGTAGGAAATATATAATCAACCATGACACGTGCAATCTGTTTTGATGTATGTAGAGAAGGATCTCTTAAAGGACTCTAGGCTTGGGGAAGATTTTTTTTTTTTTTCAATTTGACAATTTTTATTTTGTCATATATCAAAAAGCAGTATAAGGGGGGTACAGAATAAAGAAGGGAAGGTGGGGAAGGATGTAGGCAACGTTGTTTACACGTAAATTGTTTTCGTCTCGGATATGTACAGTATATGTTTCACATTTCACATCATGTGTTCCACATTTCAAATGCTAGCGTATACAATATTACCCATTACACTTTAAACGGTCATGTTTTCCCAATCCGTATTTGCTGCCTGTCTCTGAGTCGCAGGTGTGGTATGGAGTACTGGTCGTAACATCGCCACTGTTGTGGTTGGATCAATGGGTAAATTGCTTTACGGCACGTGTATTGTGTCATTCTCTCTTATCCCTTGCGTGTTTTTCTGGCCCCCTGCCCCTGCGCTTGGGGAAGATTTTAAAGTGTGTGGGAGGTTGTTCCACAATTGCGGTGCTCTGGTCGCAGGTCACAAAATATGATAATAAATTATATGTATATTATTATTATTAATTATTATTATTATATTTTGTGACCTGGGACCATGCAATCACACAGTCTTAATGATTGAAACACCACACAAATCAGATTTCTTGTAAATGCAGTCTTTTATTAAGAGGTCTGGCAATTTAAACAAAAAAATAAAACAAACAAAAAGAAAAGCCTTGCTCTTCTGAGCCATAACTCACAGTTTTTTTTTTCTATAACTGCTGTTGGGCAGCTTACCCGCTTCCAACCATACAAAATACAAATTTGAGCACAGACCTTTTTTCCAAATAAACATTTCCTTTCTCCTTCAGAACACAAAGACTCTTGTAGGGAGAAATACAGTCTCACACACTGCTTGTCCTTCTCCCTGTGAATCCCTGACAGGGACATTTTATAGCAGTCCAGTGCTAATCATTGCCAACAGGTGAGCAGCTATCTGGGTGATCCAGAACTCCTGGATTGGATTGCTCACGTGCTGTGCTGTATATAAACTGTGGAATGGAGCACTGGCCCTCCTTCACTCCAAATGATCCACCCCAGGAACCCATATTAAATTGCAAAATTGCTCTGACTAAAACAGACAGACCTTCTTCCTGGGGCTATTAATGTACATATTCCAATACCTTTGGAAATATATACACTCCATCCATAACAATGCCTTGCACGCGGTCACAATATATACACATATACACACACATACATACATATATATATATATATATAAAAAAAATACACATGATCCAGCGTGCTCACTCATTCACTTAACAGCAACTTCAAAGCGCACAGATTTATTTATTTTTTAAACACCTAATCTAGGCAAAAATAATGGGGGTTTAGTTACATTATATGATCATACATTGTATAAGTTTGCCACAGCGTCAATGTACCCTGTCTTTGTCAGGTCCTACTCTAACAGCCTAATGTCTGCTCTTATGAGATTAAACAATTTACATCTGCTGTACAAGGCTAAATAGGGTCCAGGAATGAGGCACCTATGCATTATGCACAATAAAATCTGTGAGCTTTGAAGTTGCTGTTTAGTGGATGAGTGAGTGCATTGGGTCTTGTGCATTGTATAAATTGGCCAAAGCAGCACCCCAGTTATGCATGGTCATGTGAGTGCAGCCCCCTGGTTTCATATATATATTACAATGCATGTACTGTATATATCATAATATATAATTTTCATGTTATATGTTACAATCAAAGAAGTTGAATCAATCTCAGCCGTCAGTAGGTACCATTTAGCATGGGAAGCATACATTATGAGACTGTAAACCTACAGACTATTTTTGTGAAAGATTACACTACTTTTTCATAAAGGACATTTCATTTTATTCTGAAAACAAACTGAACAAGAATTACTTCTTTTGAAATTAGCTGGTACATTTTATTCTGAATAGGTTTCAGCTGACACTCTTAGCCCCTGAATTCCATGCAAATATGGACATTATTGATATATCTAATGCTCAGGATCAACGTCCGTTCTAGCAATATGTGTGGATAGGAGCAAATTGTGGGTGGCCAGGGAATCCAGGTAAGTGTACAGCTGCCAAACCACTTTAACTTACCTGCTATATACACACTAACAGGGTTATTCACTAAATTCAGAACTGGAAACATCTATCCGATTTACCTATTTTTCAGCTTGACTAATTTTACATAAAATTTGCAATCTATTGCTCACTCCCCAACATTTTCTTTCGTAGTGAATGGCTATTCAAGTATTTTGACATTATACACAAGTACAAGAAGAAACATTTGTTTTCTATAGGACACAAGATATTATGTATTTATTATTGTTACAAGTGTTTTGGAACAATGGAAGATAACCTTGAATCTTATAGTTTTATCATTACTTATTTACAAAGTGGAGTCATATTCTGCTTCTGCAGGACAAATAAAAGAAATAGTAACAAACATGTCTGACAAGCAAAAACGGGTCGATATAGTAGCCTTTGAGATACATTAGCCTTTGCTGCCTGCAGGCTTACAGTCCAAAACAAAAGGGAGAGATGGCACACAAAGAGTGTTTCGGTTTTGCAAAAGACTAAGAATGGATGCAATGTGAGATCACACAAAACAGCTACTATAGCTCAAATTGCTAAAACTCTTAATACTGGCCATGCTATAATGGTGTCAGAAGACACCATGTCGGAGTGCCCATGATGTCCCCTGTCCACTGACAAAAGTGGCTTTAAGGGGGTGTAAGAATTGGAGTTGGGCCATGGAGCAATTGAAGAAGGTTGCCTTGTCTGATGAGTCACAGTTTCTTTTACATTAGGTGGATCGCCAGGTGCATGCCTGTCATTTACCTGGGGAAGAAATGGCAGTAGGATGCACCCTGAGAAGAAGGCAGGCCGGCAGAGGCAGTGTTATGCTATGGGCAATGTTCTGCTAAGAAACCTTACGTACTGGCTTTCATGTGGATGCTACTTTGACATGTACCACCTAACAAGAGATTGTTGCAGACCGTGTATACCCCTTTATTGTTATTGTGTTCTCTGATAGCAGCAGCTAGAGAGTTTAAGACATTGCCTTGGCCTCAAAATTCCCACTATCCATGACTGAACTTTTGTGGGATGTGCTAGAACAACAGATCTGATCCATGGAGGTCCCGCCTCACAAATTTAAGGACCTAAAGGATCTGCTGTTAATGTTTTTGTGCCACATAGCACAGGACATGTTCAGAAGTCTTGTGAAGTCCATGCTTCAACACATCAGAGCTGTTTTGGCCACATGAGGGGGAACTGCACAACATTAAGCAGGTGGTTTTAATGTCGTGGCAGGTCAGTGTATATTAATACAGGGCTGAAGGGATTCCTTACCTGTTTATTTTTAACAGAGTGATGGCTGAAGTGTTAGAGGAAAACAAGACGTGGACTAGATTCACTTCCAAATCACTCACACACATGCATTGATCGCTAAACCTCTCTATCGCTCATATTCAGTGTGAGTGATAGACATCCTTGGGACCTTATTCATGTTTGTGTTTTACAGAGGGTACTTTTAGGGTAGGGGCTGATAGTGTGTCCTCTTATTTTCATTTTACAAAAAGTGCAGATTTTAATTGAAATTGGCACTTTTGTAAATGCATCTTTGTTACATCTCTCTGGCTGTCAACCCGACAACTGGTCCAGTTATGTCCTGGTTCACTTAGCTCAGTGGAACTAAACTCGAGCATGTACCTTGCAAAGACTGCCTTATTGGGATATCTGTAACTGGACAGCCACAGAAAATCTGTCCTACAAGAAAAGTGGAGGGCTTTCAAAGGCTGCAGACAAGAGATCTGCAGCTTTTGCAAGCAGTTTTTAGATATAACCCCAATTAAAAAGTGCAGCAATAAATACATGCATGTTTTCATTGGGAATATATCTATGAAATTGTTAAAAATATATATTTTTTTTTCTATTGAAGTGTTCCGTTAACCTAAAGACTCTAACTCATTCTGTGAATGAGTTGGACAGTTGGAGCTCATACCAATTATTTAAACATTTGCTTACTGAGTTATGCTATAACAAAGTATGTATTATTTTTTTTATGGGAGTTAAAGGGGATTTTGTGCTAATGAGACATTAGAGGGAGAGGGGCAGGGTTTTCACCATACTTACAGTCACGGTGACTGACCAAGAGACTTAGAGTACAGATACACATATTATTACTAATGCTGTGTGTGTCTCTCAGCATTTCCCAACATGTAATGCTATATAGGTGAAATTGTAACTTGGGTAATGCTGGGTGAGTGGGTGATAATGTTACGGTGATCAAGAGAATAATTAAAGTTAAGGGGAAGGAGGGCATTGGAAGGAGAGGTCACGATCACTGTGAATGGCAATCGAGGCTTGGAGTGCAGATGCACGGTATTACTACTATGTGCACTCTCTGAGCTGTACTAGAATTCAAGGTAAGTGGCTAATGTTAGCTTCAGCCGTTCAAATCACTGATAAACAGGAATTCTATATATGACTTATCAATAATACATGTCTATGTAGTGCGTTCCATTGTCCAATATTTAATCAGCAAATACAACTGTAAATGGAACAACCCAGAGAATGCATCATGTATCCTATAACCTTGAGATTAAAGTATAAAGTTTGAGTTGTAAGGTCTACAATATGTAACCTCTGCTTACTTCATCTTCTGAAGTAATCGCTTACTATTTCAAGAGAGCAAACAGGTCTGTGAGGGGCAACTAAAATCTTTAGAATGGAATAATGTTGAAGACAATACAATTTCCGCTGCTCTTCTCATCTATCATTTAACTACTCCTGTCATCTGTGGTTAGCACACAATTTAAGAACATATAACTATATTTGATATTTGACAATCCATCATTCCCTCTACGTTTGTTTAGTAGAATTTTCAGATCCTTTGTCCTTAAAGTTTATGAGATCAAAACCAAAACAAAAGAAATACAATTTAATATGCTTGAGGATGAGAGAAAGGGCCTTTGATGCATCAAAAATACGTATTTGGCCTTTTGAGTTCAGATTGGAAGGCAATGAATCTAAACTGTAAAGGTTGACATTAACTATCACAAAGTAAACGTATTATTTAGAAACATATTTCTAAAAATAGTGATGGGTACCTAAAAATATTTTAGGTAAGGTAATTAAGAGTAATACGATCAACTGGTTAAATTAATTTCAGATAGTAAAAAAAGAATGAATTAAATAGTGGAAAATATGTGATTACGAACACAATTCCCTTGACAGAAGCTTCCAAGTCAGGATAAAATACTCAAGTCAGCAACTTTCAGATAACACTAAGACTGACTGGTAATTTAATGTTCCCTGGTGATACTTTGTTTA